TTCTTGGTCTGATTAAACAGTTCAACCAGGGTAAAGTTTAGAAGACCCATGTCTAGTTCTTACCCCTGGCTACTAACTATAATCACCTCCCAGTGACTAGGGGGAGCTGTTGTGGCACAGCAAGGTTAAGCTGCCATTTGGGATGCCCACCTCCCACATCTGGGTGTCTGAAATGTAGTCCCGCCTCTGCTTCTGAACTGACTTCTTGCTAATGTGTACTCTGGGAGGCAGCAGGTGATGGCTCAAATTTTGGGTCTCTGACACCCATGTTGGAGACCTGAAGGGAGATCTGGACTCTTTGCTTCAACCTGGCCAAGCCTTGGCATCTGAGGAGTGGATCAACAACAAGAACAGCTTCAAGTCAGATAAGAGACCATGAGACCAACTAAATTAGCGTCTCTGCGCTAAAATTTAGGCATCAGTGTTGCCCAGGTGATTCTAATGTGCCACTAGGGTGGAGAACCATTGAATCCTTGGCCTACCATATATGTACTTCTTGTCCTCAAGTAGATGTGTACACACTTCTATTTCCTGTAGACTGTGAGCTCCTTAAGGACGGGCACTTACACATCTTGATTTCCCTCCAAGCACCTGGTGCAGTGCCTTGTGCATAACAAGTACTCAGTAACTATTTGTTGGATGGACTTGAGGCTTTCATAAAATTAGAATCTGCGAGAGACAAGGCTTCCATTCAGTGAGTGAATATCTACTTTTAGAGATTTCGAAGGGCAGTGTGGAGAATGATCTTCAACACTCTAATAGTGAGGACTAAGAAGATGAAGGCAATTATATTGTTTTTAGACAATAGGCAAAGTTAAAGATCTATGACAATAGCTCATTAGATTTGAATTTGAGACTTAGAATTGGTGGGGACTAAGAATAACAAAGCTGGTTGTACTTAGAATTCTAAATTTTTCTACAAAACCTTACTATTATGGATAACACAACTGGTTTGATGAAATAACTAAGATAAAAGAGTTGTTAGCCAAAAAGGGGGAATGCTAGTAAAATGGTGCCATCTTATCTGTGGGGTGATCTATGTCCTGGACACCATCCTAGGCTCTAGTCCCCGTGGCCATTGCTGGAACCCAGGGGATCAGAGGGCCCAACGACAGGTGTCAACTCCACACCCACCCTAATGGGATTCGATGCTCCTGCTTCTCTGCCCCTGGCAAAGGTTTAACAGGACCTGTTTCCAGCACACTCTCTGATCTCTCTGATCTCCAGAGTGCTCTCTCCTGATCTTTCCCTTACTCTCTCGCCCTCTCCCCCACAACCCCGACCCCCACCCCCGCCAGTCAAGCTTCCCCTATCTGACAATAAACCTTTCCCTTAACTCCAGTGTCTAGTGTGTTTTGTGGCGACCTTACACTGTTACTTTTTTTTTTTTTTTTTTTGACAGGCAGAGTGGACAGTGAGAGAGAGAGACAGAAAGAAAGGTCTTCCTTTGCCGTTGGTTCACCCTCCAATGGCCGCCGCAGCTGACGCGCTGCGGCCGGCGCAGCACACTGATCCGATGGCAGGAGCCAGGTACTTATCCTGGTCTCCCATGGGGTGCAGGGCCCAAGCACTTGGACCATCCTCCACTGCACTCCCTGGCCACAGCAGAGAGCTGGCTTGCAAGAGGGGCAACTGGGACAGAATCTGGCACCCTGACCAGGACTAGAACCTGGTGTGCCGCAGCGCCGGCCAACACTGTTTTTTTGTATAAAAACTTCTTCACCCTCTACTCTGTGTCCTGCTTCTTCTTTGGAGTGTAGCAAAATCCTCCATTTGGCCTATATTCCAGAGTCATTCTGTACTGGTTTGTATTTTTTTTTTTTCCTAACTGTTCTCATAAACAGACTGCCCTGAACTGTATTAACATAAAATTTATTTCTGAATAAACTCAGAGGGTTAGATGTCAGGAAAGATCACGGTTTTTATCCCTTCAATCTGGTTCTGCCAGGCCACAGCTGAGGGAGTGTCTGTATTCCTTTACCTACAGAGACATCTCCTGGTGATTGGCTAAGGCCAATTCAGGCTCCTTGTCGCTTCAGAACTAGGATGGGATCATCCTCTTGATGGAGCTAGTCCTAAATATATTACCACATTTTGTTACTTTTCTTCTCCTTGCACACCTCTGAAGACAGTCTCATCATTAAACCAATCATTTAAACTTAAAAAAAAAGAAAAAAGTTGTTTGCTGTGATAGCTTCTCAAACTTCCTCTTAAAAAAGAAGGTAAAGGCAGGTGTGTGGCACAGCAGGTTAAGTCACCTTTGAGATGTCTGCATCTCACACTTGGAGTTCTTGCTTTCAGTCCTGACTACTCTGGCTTCCAATCCAATTTCCTGCTAATGCGCACCCTAGGAGGCAGCAGATGATGGTTCAAGTACTTGGGCCCACAAAACCCATGTGGGAGACAAGGACTGAGCTCCAGTCTCTCAACTTTGGCTTGGCCCATCCCTGGCTGTTGAAGGCATCTGGAGAGTGAACCAGCAGCTGGAAGATCTCTTTCCATCTATCTCTCTGCCTGGCTCCTGGCTTTAGATTGGCGCAGCACGCTGGCCACAACGCACCAGCCATAGTGGCTACTTGGGGGGTGAACCAACGGAAAAAGGAAGACCCTTCTCTCTGTCTCTCTCTCTCACTGTCCACTCTGCCTGTCAAAAAAAAAAAAATCTTCCAATTTAAACAAGTACAGAGTGTGTAATAACTGTATGCCACGTGATCTGTTAACATCTTACTACAGGGGCCATGGTTGTGGAGCAGCAGGTTAGGCTGCCACTTGCAACACTGCCGTCCAGTCCTGGATTTTCTGCTTCCAAACCAGCTTTCTGCCAATGAGCCTGGGAAATTAGTGGGTGATGGCTCAAGTTATTGTGTTCCTGCCACCCATGTGGGAGACCTGGATGGAGTTCCAGTCTCCTGGCTTCTACCTGGCCCAGCCCCAAAAATTGTGGCCATTTAGGGAGTAAACCAACAAATGGAAGATCTCTCTCTCATTATGTAAGATTTATTTATTGCCAGCGCGCGGCTCACTAGGCTAATCCTCCGCCTAGCGGCGCCGGCACACCGGGTTCTAGTCCCGGTCGGGGGCGCCGGATTCTGTCCCGGTTGCCCCTCTTCCAGGCCAGCTCTCTGCTGTGGCCAGGGAGTGCAGTGGAGGATGGCCCAGGTGCTTGGGCCCTGCACCCCATGGGAGACCAGGAAAAGCACCTGGCTCCTGGCTCCTGCCATCGGATCAGCGCGGTGCGCCGGCCGCAGCGCGCCGGCCGCGGCGGCCATTGGAGGGTGAACCAACGGCAAAGGAAGACCTTTCTCTCTGTCTCTCTCTCTCACTGTCCACTCTGCCTGTAAAAAAAAAAAAAAAAAAAAAAGATTTATTTATTTTTGTTTGAAAGGCAGAGGCAGAGAGAAAGAGAGAGAGAGAGAGGTTCCATCTACTGGTTCAATCCCCAGATGCTGCAATGGCCAGAGCTGTGCCAATCTGAAGCCAGGAGCCAGGAGCTTCTTCTGGGGCCCAAGCACTTGTGTCATCTTCTACTGTTTTCCCAGGCCATAGCAGAGAGCTGGATCGGAAGTGGAACAGCCAGGACTCGAACCGGCACCCATTTGGGATGCCGGCACTGCAGGCAGTGGCTTTACCTGCTATGCCACAGCGATGGCCCCAAAGATCTCTTTCTCCCCCATCGTCCTTCTGCCTTTCAAATAAATACATACATAAATATATATATAAAAAAAAGATTTTGCGGGGCTGGTGTTGTGGCTTAGCAGGTTAAGCCTCTACCTGCAATGCTGGCATCCCATATGGGCGGTGGGTCAAGTCCTAGCTGCTCCACTTCCGATCCAGACCCCTGCTAATGTATCTGGAAAAGCAGCAGAAGATGGCTCAAGTGCTTGGGCCCCTTCACCCATGTGGGAGACCTGGAAGTAGCTCCATGCTCCTGGCTTCAGATCGGCACAGCTCTGGCCATTGTGGCCATTTGGGGAGTGAACCAGCAGATGAAAGCACTCTCTCTCTCCTTTCTTTCTATACCCCCTCCCCCCACCTCCACTCTGTCTTTGTAACTTTGGCTTAAAAAAAAAAAGAAAAACTTTCAAAAAAAGTTTTGCTACAACTGGCTACTATGTGCTCAACACTCCATTATCTCCAGCATTGTCCCCATTTTATAGATGATAAAACTGACACAAGAGAATATAAAGTTCTCAAGGTCACATATCCAGGAAGTAGCCATGCTGGTTAAACATAACACTTAAATAGAGTCCTTGATCCAGTAACTCCAACTCTGAGAATTCATAAATGCTTTGAAAAAGCTCTGCAGAGGCTCTTGGAGGAGCCAGAGTAAACAAGCAGAAGCAAGTCTGCCACCATCGGGTTCCTCTGTCAAACTCTCATCTCAGAGAGAAAACAGCTCACTAATTTATATTGGCACCTGTCAGTCCGCACAGAGCCTCTGATCACTCTGGAATGATCTGGATTCCTTGATAAACAAAGCTCAGCACCAGACCTTGGTGGTATTCCTGACCTGTCCAAGGCCAGGCTGTCCCGACATGAACTGCTTGATCCCCTCTAAGGCTGCTGCATTCCAGCTTCTCCCACTGCAACCGTGCAGTGATTTAGTAGAAGTGTGTTCCCAGCCTGCCTTCCTTTAAAACCTCCTACAAATGCATGTGTGAGGAGCCGGCGCTGTGGTGTAGCAGGTAAGGCCGCTGCCTGCGCTGCTGGCATCCCATATGGACACCAGTTCGAGTTCCAAATGCTCCAGCTCTCTGCTGTGACCTGGGAAAGCAGTGGAAGATGGCCCAAGTCCTTGGACCCCTGCACCCATGTGGGAAACCTGGAAGAAGCTCCAGATCCTGGCTTCAGATTGGCACAGTTCCAGCCACTGCAGCTAACTGGGGAGTGAACCAGCAGATGGAAGACCTCTCTCTTGGCCTCTCCTTCTCTCTGTGTGTAACACAGACTTTCAAATAAATAAATCTTAAAAAAGAAAAGCATGTATTATATCAGAGTAGATCTTGCTGGTTGCCAAAAGAAATGGGCATTTGGAAACCCAGGGACAGTGTTTTCCCTCTGAACCTACCCTATCCACAAGGGCAAGCAAGGACCTTCAACTGCATCACTCAGTACCCTCAGCTGACAGAAGGCAAACATGATTTTGAAATAACCGGGATTCTCAATTGTGTTCCTTTTTTCTCTCAGCCCAAAATGCAAATGATAAATGAAGAATTAAGACAGGGTCAGGGCCAGCGCTATGGTACAGTAGGTTAATCCTCCGCCTGCAGCGCTGGCATCCCATGTGGGCACTGGTTCTAGTCCCAGCTGCTCCTCTTCCAATCCAGCTCTTTGCTGTGGCCTGAGAAAGCAGAAGTCCTTGGGGCCCTGCACCCACATGGGAAACTGGGAAGAAGCTCCTGGCTCCTGGCTTTGGATTGGCGCAGCTCTAGCCTTTGTGGCCATTTGGGAAGTGAACCAACGGACAGATGATCTTTCTCTCTGTTTCTCCCTCTCACTGTCTGTAACTCTACCTCTCAAATAAATAAATAAATAAATAACACTTTAAAAAAAAGGTTCATCATGTACTTTCTCTTATTATAATTTACTACATGGGTGGCAGGGACCCAAGTACTTGGGCCATTCTCTGCTGGTTTCCCAGGCACATTAATAGAGAGCTGGGTCTGAATCAGGAATAGCTAGGACTCAAACCGGCACTCCAACATAGCCCTCTGTGCCTCAGCTGAATTATTACATCAGAATTATTGCAGGCTGGCTGCTGTTAGAGTCCTTCTCCCCATTTTAATCAGGGAATGCTCTCTTCTTTGCCTAGCTGTATAGTTGGGAAGAAGCACGTGGCCAAGAGGGAGAAACTGATGGGGGCAGGTGCTCCCTTCTTCACCAGCCAGACAGGACAAATATATCCCACCCACCAATGGCTAATATCTCAAAATACCTCTACAGCCCACTCCTGACTCCTCCGATACATATAATGATAGCTAACATATATTACATGCTTACTACATGTAAGATACTGTGAGAATTGTTTGAAATATATCTTTCACTCTTCCAGATACCCTTTGAATTCCATACAGCAGCCGTGGGTAAGGCAGGACAAGGCGGTGGTAAGAGCTCGCGTTCTGGAGGCAGACTCTGGCCTTGAGTTCCAGTCCTGTTCTCCATTGGCTGTATGACTTTGGGCAAGTTACTTTACCCCTTTAGGACTCAGTTTTCTCATCTGTAAAACAGAGGAAAAAACCGTATAGCTGTGCCTTAAGATAAAGATGAGGACTGAACTAAATACCACATTAAGCCTTGACATGTGCACAGCTCTCAGGAAATTTTGGCCCTTGTTATCTCTAATTTACAGCTGAGGAAGCTGCAACTTAACAGATCAATACCTTACCCAGGATCTGAACCCAAATCTGACTCCAAAGTCTATGTTAGCTTCTATTTTGTCTCCCGTACAACAGCATTAAAGGCAAGAATCTTCATATTGACAGTAATTTACTTGATTTTATGTTGAAACTAGGATTGGATGCCCTTAGAATATTTATGAGATTAATCAACTTGGTTATTCTCAGCTTCTAAAATTTTTCTACAGATCATATGATCACTCAAATGATTCACCTACAGGAAATGTTCAGAGAAAAGCATTTTCTACACTGAGAAAATGTAGCAGCATACCTTTCACTACAAGGTCTGTGTGTTGACATTATATAAGATCTGTATAATGACATTCTCAGTTAAAAAACTGAGAACCGCAAGAGAAACCTCGTCCCTATTCTTACCACCGTGCCACAGCTGTTTTCATTTTTGCTCACTCATTTCCAGAGTCAGCCACTGGCAGATATGTTTCAGCAGAGTTGTGATCTCAGCGTGCACTGCAGTGTGCATCCTGTTTGGGTTGATTGTTCTGGCCCCATCCCGCTCTGCAGCCTCCTGGATGGCAGGGGAGACATTTCCCACGCTGCAGCCCAGGGTGGGGGGTTCTCAATCGGAGGGGTGATCCCCCGTGTTCCCAGTGGCTTCTTGGTGCAAGCTGAATTCACATCTATAGAGAGGAAGAGGGTGATGAGCAAGCAAAAGACAAAAAAGCTCTTCATCAGGATTCTTGAAATATGGGGAGAAGGTAGAGTAGAGACATTTGAGGGGACTTGGCAGCAGTAACACAATTAGGCCTCCTTCCCTCATTTCCCCATAGGTCACTGAGAAGCTGGCATGGGAGGATGTACCCCCCTCTAGGAGTGGCGACTGCCAGGTACAGAATCCTGAAAAACAAACCTCTGCCTGCCCAGAGGTCCTGAAGGATGGCAGAATAGGCCTTCTCCCATCATGCCACTTGGGCACAAGGATTATTTTGAGCTAAAGGCACGGAAAAACAGCAGATACAATTCTAATCTCCTTTTTTTCTTCCTGAAAACACAAGATTGAAAACTCCCATGTGAAAGATGTCCCCTCTGGACCAGGAAAAGAAACATTCTTTGACAGAAGTTACAGCCAATGGCATTCTATACACACAGACCCTGCTAAAATAATTCTTATTTTCTTTTTCCTCCAAAGAAAATTATTTTCCAATAATTGCAATTCTTTGTTCAACCTCCTACACAAGCATTCAGGGTGCTTTGTTTTTATTTGAGAGGCAGGAAAGACAGAGGCAGAGACAGACAGAGAGAACCCACCCATTGGCTCATACCTCAAATACCCAGAATGCCCAAATGGTCAGGGCTGGCAAGGCCATAGCCAGGAGCCAGGAACGCAATCCAAGTCTCCCATGTGGGTAGCAGAAACTCAACTGCTCGAGCTATAACCTGTTGTCTCCCAGGGTCTGGATTAGCAGACCCTGAATTAGAAGTTGGAGCTGGGACTCAAACTCAGGCACTTTGAGGTGGGATGTGGGTTTCTTAACCACTAGACTAATTGCTCATTTCCAACATTCAGGCTTCGTCTTGAGGTCTTTATTGTTTTGTGGGAATTCTCATATATATGTAAGAATCTATGGGGCCAGTGCTGTGGCCTAGGGAAAGCCGTGCCTGCAGTGCCAGCAACCCATATGGGTGCTGGTTTGAGTTCCGGTTGTTCCACTTCTTTTTATTTTTTTATTTTTTATTTTTTATTTATTTATTTTTTTTTGACAGGCAGAGTGGACAGTGAGAGAGAGACAGAGAGAAAGGTCTTCCTTTGCTGTTGGTTCACCCTCCAATGGCCGCCGCGGCCGGCACACCGCGCTGATCCAATGGCAGGAGCCAGGAGCCAGGTGCTTTTCCTGGTCTCCCATGGGGTGCAGGGCCCAAGCACCTGGGCCATCCTCCACTGCACTCCCTGGCCACAGCAGAGGGCTGGCCTGGAAGAGGGGCAACCGGGACAGAATCCGGCGCCCCGACCGGGACTAGAACCCGGTGTGCCGGCGCCGCTAGGCGGAGGATTAGCCTAGTGAGCCGCGGCGCTGGCCCGGTTGTTCCACTTCTGATCCAGCTCTCTACGATGGCCTGGGAAAGCAGTAGAAGATGGCTCAAGTCCTTGAACCCCTGCACCAGTGTGGGAGACCCAAAAGAGGAGAGCCTGGCTCCTGGCTTCGGATCAGCGCAGCTCTGGCCATTTGGGGAGTGAACCAGCAGATGGAAGACCTCTCCCTCTCTGCAACTCTTTAAAATAAATACATAAATCTTTTAAAAAAAAGATTTATGTATTTATTTGAGAGTCAGAGTTACACAGAAAAAGGAGAGGCAGGGAAAGGCATGACACCTTTTTCTCATAGCTAAAAATGATTGCTAAATCCGGGATATAATAATTCCAGCAACCTAGAAAAGAAACTGAACAAGAAAGCAAACACGAGCTCCAGGGAACCGAGATCTGTGTGACAGGTGTGAGGGAGGGAGCGGGGCAAGGGAGTAAACACAGAAAGCCCCGCCTTACCCACAGTTCCAGCGGTCGCACTGGGGAACGGGAGTTCAGCCACCACTGAGGGGGGTGGCGGCTCCAAGCTAATTGAGAACGTTAACAAGGCACACTGCTCAAACTGCTCAAACCCAGGGCTGGCTCTCGCTTTGTTTCTTTTCTCCCTCTTCCTCCCCTGTTCATTGACAAAAATATTGAGTACCTCAGCCTTATTACATATAAAATAAAATTCACTCCCTCTCCCTCCATCTTCTTCTTTCCCAATTCCATTCCCCAGAGGCAATCCTTTTTTTTTTCTTGAGACTTATTTATTTATTTGAAAGGCAGGATTACAGAGAAGGAGAGGCAGAGAGAGAAAGAGGGAGGGTAATCCTCAAAAGCACTTTATTATGTACCTGAAAATAATTTTTTAGTATTTTCCTCCAGGGTATTAAAGTGTTTCTTCCGATAACCACCAGCTAGTGTTTCATTCTAAGTGATAAATTCCTATTGTTAAACAGGAAAGAGCTCTTTAATAAATCTGAGGTCAGAATGGCAGGCATAAAGGAAGTAGAATATCCTTCGTCGCCTGAGAAACTGAAACTAAAAAAATAAATAAATAAAAGGCAGTTTCGCTTTCAAAGGCGCCAAAATCTGGACACGTGTTCCCTGACTGGCTTCCCTGCAGTGCTTGTTCTTCTTTTGAAGGGTCCTACCCTCCTCAGACGCGCTGCCCGCCGCCCAACAGACGAGGTCTCTTCTTTGCAGCACCCAACCCTGTGGAATCACTGAATTCCCAAGGTAAGGACACTTTATCTGGAGAAGGCCTATTCAACACACAGGATGGTCTCAAATCAGAGCGACCACAGAACGCTAGCATGAAAACTCTCCTGTGACTACAGACTCTCCCAGATGTGGCTGCTTTCGGAGGTGTGGAGGGTTATCAGATCTCCGGGGAGCAGCCTGCAGAGCCGGCAGGGCTGGTGCCAGAGCCTTGGTGGTAAGGGGAGGCTGTGAAATTCTTTATCAGGTACCCAATTGGTTGATCTCTAGAGGTGATATCAGAAATGACCCCCTAAAATCTATAAAAAAAAATGTGGCCTCTTAAAGTTCCCCTGAAGCGCCATCTGGGGTGCCACATATGCTACCGGAATTTGGGGTGCCATACGATATCACCATATGCTTATTAATAAATCCCCAATATTAATAAGCCCAAGAGGTTCTTGCCTAATATTTAGAGAATTCTAAATACCGGCACAGATAAACAAGGCAGCATGGTACATTTTAAGCTTTTATTTAGTGAGAAAGGTGCATAGGAGAGTGAGGGCTTTATCGAAGGGAGAGGTAAATCTGGGTTCATACCGAGCAGCAGGAGCCAGCCGCATGGAGGAGCGTCTAGGCCAGGAAGCCTAGGGCAGGTGGCCCGAACACAGGTCTCCTCGGGCTGAGGCGCTCTCCGGGAGCTGCGTCTGTCAGACCCCCGCCGCAGGCGCAGAACCCCACTTCCCTAGTCCACTGTTCCCTTGTATGGCACGGTCTGGGAGCCAGCGGCAAGGCTGCGCGGGAGCCAGGCGCGCAGGCGCAGGCTCAGCGCGGAGGGCGGGAGCGCGGGAGTGTGCCAGCACGCCGGCGCAGGCGGGCTCGCGTGAGTACCTGACGGGTGTAATGTGTGTGAGTCGTGTGCGTGTGGCGTGTGTACAAGGGCTTACCTGAGGTGTGTGTATAGAGTGTGCAAGAGACGTGTGTCATAAGTGTGTGTATCTTGAGACTGATGCCTCTGTGCTTCCTCAAGATAATTCTCTGCAGCTATTATTCTTAAAAAATGCTTCCCGGGGCGGCGCCGCCTCTCACTAGGCTAATTCTCCGCCTGCCGTGCCAGTACCTGGGGGTTCTAGTCCCGGTCGGGCCGCCGGGTTCTGTCCCAGTCACTCCTCTTCCAGGCCAGCTCTCTGCTGTGGCCCGGGAGTGCAGTGGAGGATGGCCCAAGTGCTTGGGCTCCCGCGCCCACATGGGAGACCAGGAGGAAGCACCTGGCTCCTGGCTTCGGATCGGCGCAGCGCGCCGGCCATAGCAACCATTTGGGGGGTGAAGCAACGGAAGGAAGACCTTTCTCTGTCTCTCTCTCTCATTAACTCTGTCCAAAAAAAAAAAAAAAAAAAAAAAAAAAAAAGCTTCTCTGGAATACTTTGTAAATATTATCCAATAATATTTCTATTAGTTGTGCATATGGCATTTTGTGTAAGTTGTATATTTTATTAACAATTAATATATAAGTTAATGTGGCTTTTTGTGTGATAATCTTGTATTCTGGGATAACCTAACTTGTGCGTGTGTGTGTGTGTGTGTGTGTGCGCATATTTTAAAGTTTTGTTATACCATTACCCCAAACTGACAACTGTTAGCTTTTTGCCATAGTATCTCAAGCCTTTCTTAAACTCAAAAAATAAAGTACTTAAGGTCAATTTGAAGTTCTCTTTGCCTTCCATTCTCATTTCCAGTTTTCTCCATTTCTTAGAGGCAACCAAGATCCTAAATTTACTTTATATCTTTAAGACTAATTTTTCTCACAGAGAGACATTTTACATATACATATCCAGGAATAATATGATATCATTTGTCAGGTTGAAGGTTTAAGGTTTTGATATCGGCAGCCTCCGCTTCCACCATGATTTGTAATTTTTCCATCTTGCTTGAGAGCACCTCTTTCCTGGATCTAACGATTTTTTTGATCAGTTCAAGTGTTCCCTCTAGTGATACTTTACATATGACTTTTCTCTGCCTAGTTTTTGAAAAATTTTTAAGATTTATTTATTTATTGTTTGAGAGGTAGAGTTACAGACAGAGAGAGGAAGAGACAGAGAGAAAGGTCTTCCACCCGCTGGTTCTCGCTCCCCAAATGGCTGCAACGGCTGTAGCTGGGCCAATCTGAATCCAGGATCTTCTTGCAGTTCCCCCACAGGGTGCAGGGGCCCAAGCACTTGGGCCATCCTCCACTGCTTTCCCAGGCCATCAGCAGGGAGCTGGATCAGCAGTAGAGCAGCTGGACATAAACCAGTGCCCATATGGGACGCTGGTGCCTCAGGCAGAGGCTTAGCCTAATATGCCACAGCACTGGCCCCATGAAATTTATTTTTGTAAGTTTTTTTTTTTTTACTTGTTTATTTTTACTTATTTGAAAGGCAGAGAGACAGAGATCTTCCATCTACTGGTTCACTCCCCCGAAGACCCACAACAGCACAACAGCCAAGACTGAGTCAGGTGGAAGTCAGGAACCAGGAACTCCACCCTTATGCCCCATTATGAGTGGCAGAGTTGGTCCAAGTATTTGGGATCTTTCACTGCTTTCTTAGGAGCATTATCAGGGAACTAGTGTTGTGCTGTGGGATGCTGGGATGACAAATGGCGGCTTAGCTCAAAGCCTATAAATGTCCAGGGGAGGGGCCGGCGCTGTGGTGTAGTGGGTAAAGTCGCCGCCTGGAGTGCCGGCATCCCATATGGGCGCCGGTTCATTTCTCGGCTGCTCCACTTCCGATCCGGCTCTCTGCTATGGCCTGGGAGGGCAGTGGAGGATGCCAGGTCCTTGGGCCCTGCACCCACATGGGAGACTTAGGAGGAGGCTCCTGGCTCCTGGCTTTGGATCGGCAGAGCTCCGGCCATCTGGGGAGTGGGTCAGTGGATGGAAGAGCTCTCTCTCTCTCTGTCTCTCTGCCTCTGCCTCTCTGTAACTCTTTTAAATAAACAAATAAAATCTTGGAACAACAAAATAGTCCAGGGGAGGGGCCAACGTGGTCCTGTGGGTTGAGCTGCTGCCTGCAACACCAGTATCCCAAATGGTGCCAGTTTAAGTTCTGGCTGCTCCACTTCCAATCCTGCTCTCTGCTAGTGTGCCTGGGGAGGCAGCCAAAAATGGACCCCTGCCACCCAAGTGGAAGACCTAGATGGAGTTCTTGGCTCCCAGCTTATGGCTGGCACAGCCCTGGTGGTTGTGAGAATTTGGGGAGTGAACCAGCAGATGCAAGATCTTTATGTGTCTCTTGCCATGCTGCCTGGGGAGTTCACAGAATACCGGGGTTCGAGTCCTGGCTGTGCTTCCCAATCTAGCTTCCTGTTGATGTGCAACCTTGGAGGCAGCAGGTGATGGCTCAAGTACTCAGGTCCCTGTCACCCGTATGGAAGACCCATATGGAGTTCTTGGCTCCTGGCTTCTGGCTGGCACAGCCCTGGTTGTTGTGAGAATTTGGGGAGTGAACAAGCAGATGGGAGATTGTTATGTGTCTTTCTTGCTATCTGTCTCTCTTTCAAATAAAATTAACTAGTTTTTAAAAATCCTTGACTTTCCACTGTTGAAAGCAGTTTTTCTTTTCTAACTCTCTTGCCTTCTCTTACACCATTTCTCTTCTCACCGCCATTCCCTATCAAGCTTAAATTCTGGGCAGATTGAACACTCTCTTTCCTTTATTACACTATTTTCTTCGTTGATTTCAGGTTTCCCCACACATTGTTGTAATGCTTTAAGTCCTTCTCATAACCTCTGACTCCTTTTCATTGCCAAGTTGAATCTTGGCTTAAATGCACTTCCCTCCAGAAAACCTTCCCTCTTCATATCGGGTTGATTGTTGATATTAGACGCTTTCCCTTTCAGGCTGCTCACCACACTTTATTGCAATTATCTATTCAATCACATTTCTTTTCCCTCTGTAAGCTCTGGGAGATAAGGGTTGTTATGCCCATCCTTGAACTGAATGTCCAGTCCCCATGGGAGAACTTGATAAATGTATTTTTAAATTTTATTATTACTTATTTGAGAGACAGAGACAGAATTCTCTCATCTACTGGTTCACCTCCTAGGGCTGGACCAGACCAAACCAGGAACCAGGAACTCAATCTGGGTTTCCCCTGTGGGTGGCAGGGATCCAAATACTTTTGAGCCATTACTTGCTGCCTCCCAGGTGCACATCAACAGGAAGCTGAGCATCAGAGGGGAACTAGGACTCAAACACAGAATCTCTGATATGGGATGCAGGGTCCCAAGTGATGGCTTAATTGCTGTATCACATAGTCACCCCTCAGTAAATATGTTTTAATAAACTGACGAATGTATTTTGTGTACCAGGCAATCTATGTAATCATCAAAGTGAGATATATGTTCTAATGGTTTCGCTTGCAGAATGAACATGCAGGAACATAATTCATCTTTGGTGATAGAATTATCCTACTCAGACTTGGTCATCGATGTAGGAGTAGTGACTCTTGGTGAAGACAACAGAAAAAAGATGCAGAAAACTCAGAAGAACGAAGAGAGGGAGAAAGTCGCACAGGCTGCATGCGCGTTATTAAACTCAGGAGGAGGAGTGATCCGCTTAGAAATGGCCAACAAGGATGACCATCCTGTGGAGCCGGGACTGGATTTGGAAGCGTCTTGGAGAGAACTTATTCAGTCTTCAGATTTGCATACTTTCTTTGAGACCAAGCAACAAGGGAGGTGCTTTTACATTTTTGTAAAATCGTGGAGCAGGGAGCCTTTCCCTGAAGACAGCTCCACAAAGCCCCGCATTTGCAGCTCGAGTTCTTTTCTGTACTGTAGATCTGGCACCTCTGCGCTTCTCATGAATTCAACAGAAGCCTTCAAGTTCCTGAAGACCAAGAAAAGAGCTGCGGAACGTCGGCCGGTTAACGAAGGAGCTCCACCCCGTAAAATTCTCACAGCTGTATGTCACAACATCTCTGAATCTGATCTTGCTTTTCATATATTCCAAAGAGACAGGCTTGAACATGGTGAAATCCTGCATCTTCCTGAGTCCCATTTGGTAGAGTTCAAACAATTCAGTACAAAAAACATCGAAAAATATGTGAAAGAAACTATTCCAAAGTACATCTCTGCATTTGCAAATGGTGAGGGAGGCTATCTTTTCCTTGGAGTGGAAGATAAAACTAAGAAAGTCCTGGGGTGTGTAAAGGAAAATGTTAATCGTGACTCTTTAGAAAAAGTCATAGCCACAGCAATCTCCAAGTTGCCCATTTTCCATTTCTGCTCTTCCAAAGCCCACGTGGGCTATGAGACAAAAATCCAAGATGTGTTTCTCGAGGGAGAGTTGTACAGTTACTTCTGTGTGATCAGAGTGAAGCCATTCTGCTGTGCAGTGTTTGCAGAAGCTCCCATTTCTTGGATGGTGAAGGAGAAGCAGGTGTGCAAGCTGACAACCGAGGAGTGGGTGGAGATGACAATGGACCCAGACCCATTAGCAAGTAAGAAGGAGCAAACTCCTCCCTCCCTGTCCTTCATCCCATAACTGAGTTCTTCATACCTTCTGAAATTCGCTTCCTCTAATCTCCAGGGTTTTCTTTTCTTTTCTTTTTCTTTTTTTATTTTTGACAGGCAGAGTGGACAGTGAGAAAGAGAGAGACAGAGAGAAAGGTCTTCCTTTTGCTGTTGGTTCACCCTCCAATGGCCGCCGTGGCCGGTGCGCTGCGGCCAGCACAGCACACTGATCCGAAGGCAGGAGCCAGGTGCTTTTCCTGGTCTCCCATGTGGGTGCAGGGCCCAAGGACTTGGGCCATCCTCCACTGCACTCCTGGGCCATAGCGAGAGAGCTGGCCTGGAAGAGGGGCAACCGGGACAGAATCTGGCACCCCGACCGGGACTAGAACCCGGTGTGCCGGCGCTGCAAGGCAGAGGATTAGCCTATTGAGCCACGGTGCTGGCCCCAGGGTTTTCATATATTAGAAAGTTTTGCTGGTGGAGAAAAAGCCAACAATGTATATTTTTTAAAGATTTATTTATTTATTTACTTGAAAGTCAGAGTTACACAGAGAGAAGAGAGACAAAGAGAGAGAGAGAGAGGTCTTCCATCCACTGGTTCACTCCCCAGTTGGCCGCAATGGCCGGAGCTGTGCCAATCCGAAGCCAGGAGCCAGGAGCTTCTTCTGGGTCTCCCATGCAGGTGCAGAGGCCCAAGGACTTGGGCCATCTTCTACTGCTTTCCCAGGCCACGTCAGAGAACTGGATCAGAAGTGAAGCAGCTGGGACCCTAACTGGTGCCCATCTGGGATGCCAGCACTGCAGGCAGCAGCCCTACCCACTATGCCACAGTGCTGGCCCCAACAATATGTTTTGCAAATGGTGATTTCCCTCAAAAGAAGTAAAAAAAAAAACTTGGAAATGGATTCCTGATTTAACTATGTATTATTTATAATTCTTTCATTGGAATTTGCTAGAACTTCATAATAGCTGTTACGCTGTACCTTGGTTTAGTGTGAGACCATCTCCAGGGGACTAGAGCCAGTGTTGGGTGAGGTTAGCTTTGGTTGAGGTTATGAAGGTGCAGGATCTAAAACACACAATGATTATAATTTTAAGAGAGTCTTTGCTTTATATTAATGCAAGCAAAGAGCTATTCTGATATAGAAGAGAGAGTATTATCCTGAATGGGGGAAAACATGATTCAAGATTCAAAAGCAGGGGCAGGCATTGCGGTGCAGCAGGTTAAGCTGCCAGCCGTCTACATTCCACATCTGAGTACTGGAGTCCTGGCTCCTCTGCTTCCAGTTGAGCTTCCTGGGAGGCGCCGATGATGGCTCAAGTTCTTGGGTCACAGTCACCCACATGGAGTTCCTGGCTCCTGACTTCAGGCTAGTCCAGCCCTGGCAGCAGCAGGCCTTTGAGAGTGAACCATTAGATGGAAAATCTGTCTCTCTTGTTTTTTTCTCTCCTTCCCTCTTCTTTGTTGCTCTTTCAAATAAAAAAAATTTTTTTTAATTCAAAAGCAGTGTTCTTTAAAGATGGAGCTTTGACAATCCTGCCAAGGAGTCAAGAACAGGTGAAGTAGTTGACTTCGTTATCTGAATTGCATTGTGTTAAATGAAATTTAGACACTGCTTTGAAGGTCTACTCCAGTGGTGAGGAATGAAATCATACAGGGTAAGACTTTTATTTTTTTTCCAGAGCTGACCGAAGATTTTGAATCCCAGCTGAGTCTGTCCAGTGGGCCTCCACTTTGTAAACCAGTATATTCCAGCAAAGGTCTGGAACACAAAGAAGATCTCCAACAACATTTATTTCCAGGTACTGACTGCCAATTTTTACATAGGAGAAAGGGAGATCATGTAATACATTCGATTCAAAACAAATCCATGAAAGACTACAATGCTGTAAATCCAGATATATAAAAGTGACAGGGCTGCAAAGCACTTGGGGATGAGTTTCAGGTGCCCTTAAAAAATCATCTAGCTTAACAACCCAGTGAGGGGTTGTTAAGTATGCAGATGTCTAGGCCCCCACTAAGACCTTATAAAGACATCATTGCCAAGGATGAATCCTGGGCTTGTGCATCTCAGCAGGCTTCCCAGATGGTCCTGATGTCCTGCTGGGTTTGGAAACCACTGATGGAGTCTAACTGTAGGCAAAGCACGAAGTGACCAGATGGGGGCACGGTGGACTGGTCAGCTGTTCAGGGTGGAGGGATTTTACCTGTACAGGAACGAACACATGCTCACCTGGTAGAACATGAAAACATAGAGTAAACCATGAATAACTTCTCTTGGAAGAGGTTAGAGATGAGTCAGCAGTGTACCAAGGGTAGCAGACAACAGTAATTGAAGACCTTAGACAATGTTTGGCAACCCTTCTCCCCTCTACCCAAACATTTTTTTTAGCCAGGTTTTGTATGGGAGTTCCTACTTGAAAATGGAAATCTAGATTTCTAGAGGAGGGAAATATTTAACCTCACACAATGAGCACATGAAATATGAGACCTGACAGTAGAATATGGTATGCATGTGTCTTCTGTATGTCTAAACATTTATCAACAGTCAAGTAACTAATATTTGGGCCTGGCTTATACCCATTTTCAGAGAGTTTCTTTTTTTTTAAGATTTATTTCTTTATTTGAAAGTCAGAGTCACACTGAGAGAGAAGGAGAGGCAGAGAGAGAGAGAGAGAGGGAGGGAGAGAGAGAGGTCTTCCATCCGCCGGTTCATTCCCCAATCGGCAGCAATGGCTGGAGCTGCACCGATCCGAAGTCAGGAGCCAGGAGGCTCTTCCAGGTCTCCCACATGGGTGCAGGGGCCCAAAGACTTGGGCCATCTTCTACTGCTTTCCCAGGCCATAGCAGAGAGCTGGATCGGAAGTGGAGCAGCCAGGACTCGAACCGGCATCCATATGGGATGCCAGCACTGCAGATGACGGCTTTACCCACTATGCCACAGTGCTGGCACCTAGAGAGTTTCTTTACTTACTCAAGATCTTTGCAGTCGTTAGCTTATAAGAAGGCGTTTTAAATGTTCCATAATAAGACTCTGAGACAGAAGTGCAATTAAATACATGGTTCTCAATTTCTTAAGCTAAAAAAATTCTCATTTTAGTTGGCACATTCTACTTTCCATGAGATAGTAGAGGGGCGACATCACTCAGTTTTCCAGATTTGTTAGGGTATGGCTTAAACAGATACACCAGAAGGAATTATTTTATTATGGGGGCCTTACTCTCCCTTATAAATAGAATATGATTTGTACAAAATAAGAATGATATTTAAAAAAGTTTGTCTTAATTTTTCCATGTCTAGTGCCACTAGGACACCTGCAGTACACTCCTGAATCCCTCTGGAAGGAGCTGTGCTCAGAGCATGAGGGGCTGGAGGAGTTACTGAGTAAGGAGATGCGTCCTTTCTCCCGAGGAATTCTGATCCTTTCCAGAAGCTGGGCAGTGGACCTGAACTTGCCTGCCAAGCAGGGCGTCATCTGCGAAGCTCTGCTGATAGCAGAGCACAGCCCCCCCATCCTCCACACCATTCTCAGGGAGCAGGATGTGGACGGGCAGCGCTATTGCACTAACACTGCCTTGACTTTGAAGCAGAAGCTGGTGAATATGGGGGGCTATACAAAGAAGGTGTGCGTCAAGACCAGGGTCCTCTGCCTGAGTACCAAGACCCATGTCGAGCCCCTGCAGGGGTCAGCCTTTCCGATAGACTACCCCTTGTCCTACAGCTTTGCAAACACCCTACACATGGACGCTTTTCTGCAGTCGCTTGCGGTGGTCCTGCTGGGCTTCAGATCTTTCCTAAGTGACCAGCTCGGCTGTGAGATTCTAAATCTGCTCACGTTACAACAGTATGAGATATTCTCGAAAAACCTGTGCAAGAGCAGAGAATTGTTTGTGCATGGCTTACCTGGCTCAGGGAAGACGATCATGGCCGTGAAGATCATGGAGAAGATCAGGAATATGTTTCACTGTGAGGCAAACAGAATTCTCTATATTTGTGAAAACAAGCCTCTACAGGACTTTATCAGGTAAGGGGCTGGATCGTAAGTCTGTGTGTGTTATTTAATTTGGGCTTAATTTTTTTCTGCTAAGTCACCTTGTTCCTTGGGAATCAGATGGTAACAGGATCTGTGACAAAGGTACCGTGTTCAGGGGATCAGGGTGGAGTAATTTTATCCTTTTATTTAGGGAAAACCTGAGTGTGTCATTTTAATTTCTTTGAGACAGACACACACACAGAGAAAGAGAGAGAGAGAGAGAGAGAGAGAGAGAGAGAGAGAGAGAGAGAGAGAACCCGTCCTCTGATTCTCTTCCCAGATGCCTGAGGAGCTGAGAATTCAATCCAGGTCTCCCATGTGGGTGTCAGGTGATCCAGTTACCTGAGCCACCGCCTGCTGCCTCCCAGAGTCTCCATTGCTGGGAAGCTACAATTGGGAGCCAGAAGTGAGAATCAAATCCAGGCACACCCATATGAGGCACAAGCATCTTAACCAGTGTCTTAACTTCCAGGCCAAACACCTGACCCTGTCATTTGAATTTTTACAGTAAGAAAAATATCTGCCAAGCAGTGACCCGGAAAGCCTTCATGAAAGAGGACTTTGAAAATATTCAACACATTATCATTGATGAAGCTCAGAACTTCCGCACCGAAAACGGGGACTGGTATAACAAGGCAAAAGCCATCACTCAGCGAGAAAAGGATCACCCAGGAATTCTCTGGATCTTTCTGGACTACTTCCAGACCAGCCACTTGGACTGCAGTGGCCTTCCCCTTCTCTCGGCCCAGTATCCAAGAGAAGAACTCACTAGAGTAGTGCGCAATGCCGATAAAATAGCCTACTACCTGCGAGACAAACTGCACGAGATCAGAAGAAAGCCCCCACCCAACATCCCCTCAATGTCCCTAGAGATGCTTCCTGAAGTGGAATGGGTTCGAGGTGTTCAGGGAACCTTGAAAATTAAGAAAGACTTGACTCGGGATCAAGTAGTAACGTATGTGACAGATACCTGTCGGGGTCTCTTTGAAAGGGGCTACTCTCCCAGAGATGTTGCTGTGCTTGTCAGCACCCAAAGTGAAGTGGAGTATTATGAGTATGAGCTCTTGAGAGCAATGAGGAAGAAAAGGATTGTGCAGCTCAGCAATGCGTATGACATCTTGGGTGACCACATTGTGCTGGACAGCGTGCGGAGGTTCTCGGGCCTGGAAAGGAATGTCGTGTTTGGGATCCATCCAAAGACAGCTGACCCAGCCATCTTACCCAATTTGCTGGCCTGTCTGGCTTCCAGGGCAAAACAGCAGCTCTATATTCTCTGGCTTGGTGACTGTTAGGAAGAATCACAGCGAAAATGAGAGACAATTGCTATGGAAACGTTGGTGGGTGATAGTCTGTTTGGTACTGGCTAGAACTTTTTGATTCACAAGTCAGCTAGAGGTTCGGGCAGAGTTGACATGTGGAATTTGGAACTGCCTCCCTCTGACCCACTCTGTTCAGGGATACCCCTTCTGGTTCTTTCCAGCAGCTATGGTTATGCTGAATTCTGTCCCCAGTTCTCCCAGCCAGAAAGATAGCGGTTTCCTGTAGGCACTTTATGCATCTTGCACAATGCAGACCTGTGTCCAACACTCTGGGAAAAGCCATAAAAACTCCTCCTGTGGCCTTTCTTCCAAGCCTTTCTTTTTTCAGTGATTTCATGCAGTTTGTCTTCTGAAATGTTCCAGAGTTTTCCGTTGTTATCTGCAGAAGAATGATCTGTCAGCCGGCGCCACGGCTCACTAGGCTAATCCTCTGTCTGCGGCACCGGCACACGGGGTTCTAGTCCTGGTCGGGGTGCCGGATTCTGTCCCGGTTGCCCCTCTTCCAGGCCAGCTCTCTGCTATGGCCTGGGAGTGCAGTGGAGGATGGCCCAAGTCCTTGGGCCCTGCAACCCATGGGAGACCAGGAGAAGTACCTGGCTCCTGGCTTCAGATCAGCGCGGTGTGCCGCGCCATTCAGGGGTGAACCAACAGAAAAGGAATAGCTTTCTCTCTGTCTCTCTCTCACTGTCCACTCTGCCTGTCAAAAAAAAAAAAAAAAAAAAAAAAAGAAGAAGAAGAAGAAGAGTGATCTGTTCAGAGCTTATTTGACCACACCAGAAGCAGAACTTGATTCCTGAATTTCCTTTGCTGCATGGATTCAGGTCTTGGGAGATTCCCAAGATAATTCAGTCGCCGACAGAGTTAATCTTAATTTTTTTGGCAGAACAAAGAACACTGCTATGTTTTTTTTAATCCTTTAAAATTTTCATTGCCAATGTTTGCTCTCTGAGTGGCACACACAAAGCATTAATTGTGATAGTAAACATTAACTGTCACTTTATAGAGAAATTACAGGCCAAGAGAAAACAAAGATTAAACCCAATTTCTCTGGCTTTCCATGGGAGATAGTTGTAGAGACTAAAATCTGGTTTTAATAAAGGTGTTTGAGCTCTCATATAAACAGAACCATGAAAGATATAGTCTTTAAAAATCAGTGTGTTTGAAACACAACTTCTCAGCTTACTTCCACTTGTTTCTCTGTAACACAAAAACCTAGGTTTTAATTGTTCTTGAACTGTAATTTTTCCCTCTTTGCTTTCATAGTTAGTGAACCGTTGTTAGAGGCTGAATGTGTCGTCCCCACCCCCATAGTCATACACTGAAGCCCTATTATCTTGGGCCTCTAAGGGGGTAAATAAGAGTTAAATGAGGCCGGCACCGCGGCTCACTAGGCTAATCCTCCGCCTTGCGGCGCCGGCACACCGGGTTCTAGTCCCGGTCGGGGCACCGGATTCTGTCCCAGTTGCCCCTCTTCCAGGCCAGCTCTCTGCTGTGGCCAGGGAGTGCAGTGGAGGATGGCCCAGGTGCTTGGGCCCTGCACCCCATGGGAGACCAGGAGAAGTACCTGGCTCCTGCCATCGGATCAGCGCGGTGCCGGCCGCAGCGGCCATTGGAGGGTGAACCAACGGCAAAGGAAGACCTTTCTCTCGGTCTCTCTCTCTCTCACCGTCCACTCTGCCTGTCAAAAAAAAAAAAAGAATTAAATGAAGTCCTAAGGGTGCGGGCCATGATCTGATAGGGCTGGTGTCCCTGTAAGATGAGAGCCAGAGGGCTTGCTCCTTCTGCCCTTGTGCACGCAAATGAGAGACCATGTGAGCCCCACAAGCCAAGAGAAGAGGCCTCACAATGAACCCCACCCTGCTGGCACCTGGGTCTGGGAACCAGCAGAACTATGGGAAATACACTTCTGTTGGTTAAACCACCCAGTCTGGTATTCTGTTATTGAAGCCCATGAAGACTAATGCACCTGTACACTCCTAACTAAAAACAACACAAACGCATTGTTTGCTTTTCAGCTTATACAAAACACTACTAATCTAAATGCTAATAGTAATCTATTTGAGTAACTAATAGGAATTAAAACTTTGACATGGGTTATACTCCATGTATTAGTGGATCCTATTCTGTAATTACCTATTCTGTTATCCTATTCTGTAATTACCACCACCCCCACACTGTAAGTTTTTGGAGTTCTCTGCATGCTTTTTAGTATCTGTTTACTCATGGCATTCCAGCACTTAGCCGTCAAGTTCAGCAAAATATGACCTGTAAGCAAGATTAGAAGGCAGATGTTCCTTTTTCCTTTCTGAGGATGTTAAATCAGATACAACTGGCATCAAAAAGCTATCTATAAATGTGGTCTGAAAGCACCTGAGACTCCATCCCGGGAAGGCACCCCACCCCTCACCATGAGACTCTGGTCTGAAACTATGATCTAAAATAGTCAGACAATAGCAGTCCACTTCATCACACTGGCAAAGCATAGAAACCCCTTAGCATAATCTCTCAAGCTTGAAGGGGATAGGCTGCACCTGGGTTAATGATAAAAATGTAATTTGTCTATGTCCTACTTATGATTTAAGCCAATACCTGGATTAATATCAAGATTATAATTGAAATTGTTAAGATTGTAACTGATTGTCAAGATTATAATTAATACTAGTTTCTTGGCCAGCGCCGCAGCTCACTAGGCTAATCCTCCGCCTTGCGGCGCCGGCACACCGGGTTCTAGTCCCGGTCGGGGTGCCGGATTCTGTCCCAGTTGGCCCTCTTCCAGGCCAGCTCTCTGCCGTGGCCAGGGAGTGCAGTGGAGGATGGCCCAAGTACTTGGGCCCTGCACCCCATGGGAGACCAGGAGAAACACCTGGCTCCTGCCTTCGCATCAGCGCGGTGCGCCGGCCGCAGCGCGCCGGCCGCGGCGGCCATTGGAGGGTGAACCAACGGCAAAGGAAGACCTTTCTCTCTGTCTCTCTCTCTCACTGTCCACTCTGCCTGTCAAAAAAAAAATAATAATTAATACTAGTTTCTCATAGGTTTTAGGTCAGCTTGACCCCAGTCACCATGTATTCCCCCTGATCCTAGCAACCGTGTATTCCCCTCCCAATTTTGTGGTTTTTGCCTTTATAAACCCTGCTCTTTGGGCCATGGGGTCGAGAGTTCTTTGGGAAATGAGCCCACTCTCGGCCGCCAGCAATAAAGGACTCCGAAATTATCATTGTGTGGCGCTCTTCTGTCAGCACTCACTCAGGCACAACACTTTAATTCTGATTGGTTGTATCATTATGCTTTATCATCCTAGTAATGATAGGATAGTATCATTAAAACAATGTGATATCTTTAAATTGTACTCATAACTTTTTAAAGATGTATTTATTTATTTGAAAGGCAGGGTATTAGAGAGAGAACAATCATCCATGTGCTGGTTCACTTCCCAAATGGCCACAATAACTGGGCCACAGGCTGAAGCCAGGAGCCAGGAACTCCATCCAGATCTCCCACATGGATGGCAGTGCCCAAGCGCTTGGGCCTCTTCCACTGCTCACCAGGTACATTAGCAGGAAGCTATTGAAGCAGAGCAGCTGACATGCAAACCAGCACTCAGACATGGGATGCCAGCATCGCTAACGGCTGCTTAACCTGCCGCACCACAACCCCGGCTCTGAGTTTTGGTTTAGACCAGGAAGGATGACTGATGTTTCCTTCTTTTTCCATATGACTAAGGAAAGGTTTAGTTACATATCTGCTGCATTTCCATGTGAAATAAAATATTGAAAGTTTGTGTCATTAAACGGGAAAAAAAGAGACACAGAATTGGTGATTAAATTGGGGAAAGGGAAATACTAAGGCCAATGACATGATAGGGCCACATGCGAGGCAGCAAAAGGCTAAGAAGATGAATCTTCAGCTTCCTTCTGGGGTGCCTGCTTAGCTCTGCAACCTCTGGCTCCAGCTGTCTGGGGCCCATTTCACTGAAGACCTGAAAATCCACACAGCCATTGTGAAATAAGACAAAACGCTTTTAAATTTTAAATGAACTTAGAATAGTTTTATACTTAAAGAAGAGCTGCATATAAAAAATTCCTGTAGAAAGTCCCTGACTCAGCTTCTTCTTTGTTAAAAAAAAATTTTTTTTATAGGGGGCTGGTGCTGTGGTGAAGCCGCTGCCTGCAGTGCCAGCCTCCCATATGGGCTCCGGTTCAAGTCCTGGCTGCTCCGCTTCCACTCCAGCTCTCTGCTATAGCCTAGGGAAGCAGCACAAGATGGCCCAAGTCCTTGGGTCCCTGCACCTGCGTGGAAGACCCAGAAGTTGTTCCTGGCTCCTGGCTTCAGATTGGTGCAACTCCGGCCGTTGTGGCCATCTGGGGAGTGAACCATTGGATGGAAGACCTCTCTCTCTCTCTCTCTCTGCCTCTGCCCCTGCCTCTCTGTCGTTCTGCCTTTCAAGTAAAATAAATAATTTTTTTAAACTTTTCATTTATTTATTTATTTGAAAGGCAGAGTGACAGAGAAAGGGAGAGACACTGAGAGAGAGAGAGAGAATCTTTCATCTCCTGATTTACTCCCCAAATACCCACATTAGCTGGGGCTGGACCAGGCCAAAGCTAAGAGCCAGGAACTCCACCTGGGTCCCCGCCACAGGTGGCAGGAATCTAAGTACCTGTGCTATCTCCTGCTGCTTCCCAGGCATATTAGCAGAGAGCTAGATCAGAAGTGGAGAAGCTGGGCTTCAAATCAGGCACTCCAATATGGGATCCCATGTCCCAAGTGACAGCCTAACGCCCTGTGCTGCAACAGCCACCCTTCCTTTTTGATCATCTTATTACAAGATTCCTTTGTCACAACTAAAGAACCAATCTTACAGGGCCAGCATTGTGATGCAGTGGGTTAAGCCACCACCTGCAATGCCGGAATCCCATATGAGCACTGGCTCAAGTCCCAGACATGCTGCTTCCAATCCAGGACTCGGTTAATGTACCTGGGAAAGCAGTGGGAGATGGCCCAAGTGCTTGGGCCCTGCCATCCATGTGGGAGACTCAGATGATGCTCCAGGCTCCTGGCTTCAGCCTGGCCCAGCCTTGACTCTTGTAGCTGTTTGGGAGGGAAACAGCAGATGGAAGATCTCTCTCTCCCCACCATCTCTCTGTAACTCTGCCTTTAAAAAAGAAAAACAAAACAAATCTTCATCCTGCTGTTAACCACGCAGTTTATTTGGATTATCTAGTTTTTCCCTAGTGTTCTTTCTCTTTTCCAGGATTCCTTCCAGGGCACCACATTCCACCTAGCAGTTCCATCTCCTTAACCGGCTTGGGGCTGTGACTGTTTCTCAGATTTGATTTTTGATTACCTGGCCAATTTTGAGGAGTACCGGCTAGGAATTTTGCACAGTGAGCCTCAATTTGCATTTGTCTGACGTTTCTCTCACAGACCAGGGTTATGGTATCTGAGAAGACCATGGGAGTGAAATGCCAGTCTCATCACATCACAGCAAGGACTTCTGCTATCAATATGTCCATCACTGATGATATTAACCTTGACCCCTGACTGAGCTAGTGTTTGCCAGGTTTCTCCATTACACAGGAACTTCCCCTTGCTATGGCTGGAATGTGTACCTCCAAGTTCACATGTTGGAAACCCAGTCCCCAAGGCAACAGTGTTGAGAAGTGATTGGGGGATGAGGGCTGTGCTCTCAAGAATTGGCCAATGTCATTGTCATGAGAGAGGGTTCACCTTGAGAGTGGGTTTGATTTAAAAGTGAGTTGTTGAGCCGGCGCCGTGGCTCAATAGGCTAATCCTCCACCTTGCGGCACCGGCACACCGGGTTCTAGTCCCGGTTGGGGCGCCGGATTCTGTCCCGGTTGCCCCTCTTCCAGGCCAGCTCTCTGCTATGGCCAGGGAGTGCAGTGGAGGATGGCCCAAGTCCTTGGGCCCTGCACCCTATGGGAGACCAGGAGAAGTACCTGGCTCCTGCCATCGGATCAGCGCGGTGCGCCGGCTGCAGCGCGCCGGCCACGGCGGCCATTGGAGGGTGAACCAACAGCAAAGGAAGACCTTTCTCTCTGTCTCTCTCTCTCACTGCCCACTCTGCCTGTCAAAAAGAAAGAAAGAAAGAAAGAAAGAAAGAAAGAAAGAAAGAAAGAAAGAAAGAAAGAAAGAAAGAAAGAAAGAGTGAGTTGTTGCCCCTCTTGCTCTCTACCCTTTCTGCCATGGAATCATGCAATCAGAGGTCCTCGTCAGACATCAGCACCATGCTCTTGAACCTCCCAGTCTCCATAGCCATGAGTAAAATACATTTCTGCTCTTTATAAATTACCCAGTCTTAGGAATTCTGTTACAGTGGCATAAAACTGACAGAGACCCCGCCCTCATATGCCATTAAGTGCAGCCCACACTCAAAGGAAGGGAAGCCAAGTACCGTCTTCTTGTGGGGAGGCAGCTACAGATATTATTTGCAGTCCTTCTACATAGGACACTTGTCTTCCATCCTCATTTATTGGTCGATTCAGTAAGTTACTTACATTTGCACATTTATGGGGATTCCTTTACTACTTGTGATCCATTCCAACACGACACTGTCTTGTTGCTAATCATTCTAGTATCAGGCATTGGACTTCTTTCAGGTTGATCCCTGTGTCAATTTTGTATTCCCTTGGTTTTATTTTTTCAGCACATTTTTACCTTTTTAGCACTACAAGACCCTCCAAACCTATCCTGTGTATTCTCTGCCCTCACCCTAGTATCGTCCATTTCTCCAAGGAACTCTGGTTCCTTTTATAGGAAAATGGTATTAAAAACCAAGATCAGGGAGCTGGCACTGTGGCGTACCAAATTAAGCCACTGTCTGCGATGGTGGCATCCCATATGTGCACCGGTTTGAATCCTGGCTGCTACACTTCTGATCTAGCTCCCTGCTAATGTGCATGGGAAGGCAGCAGAAGATGGCTCAAGTGCTTGGGCCCCTGCACCCACTCGGGAGACCCAGGAGAAGCTCCTGGCTTCTGGCTTCAGCCTGGTGCAGCCCTGACTGTTGCTGTCATTTGGGGAGTGAACCAGTGGAAGATCTCTCTCTCTAATTCTGACTTTCAAATAAATAAACTAATTTAACAACAACAGCCAATATCAGGGTACTAAGCGTGCTCATTACTACTTGTTTAATTTGTTGATATTGACTGTTGTGGCTTTTGCCAGATGTCATTATATATGGCAGCACTGTCTAATAGGATAATTTGCAATGTGGCTAGTCCAAATTGAAATGGGATCTAAGTGTATTCTACACATTGAAATTTTAAAAATAGGGCCAGCGCTGTGGCACAGTGGGTTAAAGCCATGACCTGCAGTCCAGCATCCCATATGGGTGCCAGTTCATATCCTGGCTGCTACACTTCCGATCCAGCTCCCTGTTAATTCACCTGGTAAAGCAGAGGAGGATGGCCCAAGTGCTTGGGCCCCTGCACCCACATGGGAGACCAGGCTTAAGCTCCTGGCTTCTGTTTGGCCCAGCCCTGGCAGTTGCAACCATTTGGAGAATAAACTAGCAGATGAGAGTCTCTCTTGCCCTCTCTCTCTCTGCCTCTCTGTCTCTGTAACTCTACCTTTCAGATAAATAAATCTTTAGGGGCCAGTGCTGTGGCATAGCGGGTAAAGCCGCCGCCTGAAGTGCCGGCATCCCATATGGGCTCCAGTTCGAGACCCAGTTGCTCCACTTCTGATCCAGCTTTCAGCTGTGGCCTGGGAAAGCAGTAGAAGATGGCCTAAGTCCTTGAGCCCCTGCACCCACATGGGAGACCTGGAGGAAGCACCTGGCTCCTGGCTTTGGATCGGCGCAGCTCCAGCTGTTGCGGCCATTTGGGGAGTGAACCAGCAGATGGAAGACCCCTCTCTCTCTCTCTCTGCCTCTCCTGTGTAACTTTGATTTTCAAATAAATAAATCTTTTAAAAAATCCACGGTGAATAAATATGAAATTTTTTATTGTATATATTTTTATTTATTAATTATTTATCAGGAGTGACTGAAATAAAAAATGTAATTGAGTGCCATCATCATCATCATCATCATCATGGAAATGGCTTTAAGAGAAAACTGGTCAGAAGAATATTATTGCCTCCCATTTTCAACCAGCACATAGTTGCTTTTGATAAGACAGATAAGAGCCTGTCAGAATGCTCTAGATTATAATACAACATGCCTGTTTACAGGGGAACAAACCTAGGGAA